GCAAAACAAAATGGAAAAATACGTTTTGCAAAAACACAGAAAACAGGACACAGAAAGCAACATACGAAAACAAAGTAAAGATGCAGTACTAACTAGATAAAGAAGCAAGAACTGAAGATGGAAGGAAAAGGCAGCAAAACACGAGCTCAGAAAATGAAAAAGCAACGGAGGCTCAGAGAGAGAGAAGTTGTAAAGTGTGTCGAAATGATGAGATTTGTTTTAGGTAAAGGGAAAAAGGCGGGACTGTTCAAATCTCACGAAGTATGAAGAACGGCGTGACAGCCGTCCTCAGTCAATCAGGACATGCCACGTGCCATCAGAATGGGAAGCGATTCAGTTGCTGTGATTGAAGAGACGATTTGACCGGACAAGCAGAGCCCGGTGTGAAATTAGCTCGGCTGGAATGTTTAAGAGTTTTTAGCTCGGCTGGAAAGGCTAAAGGGTTTTTAGCTCGGCTGGAAAGGCTTAAAAACTTCAGCTCGACTGATAGACAGATAATCCCTATCATGCTGCGTAGATGGAATTAAGGGGCAATTGAGAGGGCAATTTTTGTAAAAATTGGGCCGAGCTGGGTAATGGGCCGTTATGAACCACAGTACAAAAGGGTCGAGTAAAAGGGCCACGTTAGTCACTCCGGTTGTATGAATATTCTGAAATTAGTCCGGTCCTAAGACTGCGAAGCTGGTCCGGTCCGACGTAAGAACGAAGTTAGATCGGTCTAACGGTATCTTTGAATTAGACCGGTCTTGGCGTTATACCGGTCACGACTCGTTAGTTCGGTCTAACCACACCATGTGTTGTGCATGAGAAGCCGACGTAAGAGAAGTAAAAGGAAGAGCTAGTTCGGCTTATTCTACGGCTGTGCATAGTCGTGTTTACTTCGGTCGTATTGGAGTTCGGCCATGATAGAACCATCTCACTTGGTTTAAGCAGTGAGGGGGGTGTTGAAGGATAAGCATTATCTTTCAGGAGTATGAATCCTAGGAGGACTCTGCATGGAGGAGTAGAAGTCCTATTAGGATTGTGCCACACAAAAACCTATAAAAGCTCACAAACATCACCTTTGGAGAGGTAACACACAACTTTGCTTTCTGAATACACGGAGCTTTTGTCTATTTGTCAAGCTTACTGACTTAGGCATCGGAGAGGTTTCCGGCACACACCCATCGGCTAGCTCACGTTTGTGTCTTCAGGTGATAAAGCGACGTCGTACGGTGGAGCGCAGACTTGATCAACAGGATTATACGAGAAGGTTGATTTCTTTCCCGTACACCTACTATTTGGCATAATAGACTAGGCCATCATTCCTCTGTAAAATTTCATCATCTCAAACATCATTTGCATCTTAAATCTGTACCTCTTGCTACTCAAGATTGTGTAGATTGTTGTGTTGCTAAAAGTCATAGACTTCCTTTTCATTTGTCAAATTCAAGTGTTAATAAGCCTCTTTCACTTATTCATAGTAATGTTTGGGGCCCTTTCCATTCTTCTTTTACTTACAAATATTATATGATTTTTGTGGATGAATTTAGTAAGTTTACTTGGTTGTATCCTCTAGTTTACAAAAGTGAGGTCTATGACAAATTCTTGGAATTCAAATCTTATGTTGAAAAACAATTTGATACTATTTTAAAGATACTTCACACTGATGGAGGAATTGAGTTTTGTAATAATAAAATGAAGGAGTTTATTGTTGCTAATGGCATTATTCACAAACATTCTTGCCCATACCCTCTACCACAAAATGGCATTGCTGAAAGAAAACACAAGCATATCACAGAGACAGCAGTTGCATTGATTCATCATTCCTCCATGCCTCTTGAATTCTGGTTTGAAGCAGTTGCTACTGCTACTTACTTGATTAATAGACTTCCTTCTACTCAACTGCAGCATCAATCTCCTTTTGAAGTTTTATTTCATCACCCTCCAGACTACTCTTTTCTCAAGGTCTTTGGTTGTCTCTGTTATCTTGGGCTTCAGCCTTATTCCTCTACTAAACTCCATCCTAAGTCTCTACCTTGTGTCTTTCTTAGTTATCATCCATTTGCTAAGGGGTACAGGTTTCTTGATCCCATTTCTAGCAGGATTTATCTTTCTAGACATGTCATTTTCAATGAATCTACATTTCCTTTTAACCAAGTGTCCTCTACCTCTTCTTTTCTTTCTTTACCTCAAATTCAATCTTTCTTTTGGTCCACTATACCTACTTCATCTTCTTCTCCATCTGTTTCTTTTTTACATGGCCAGCCTAATTCTTCTCAGCATTCTCATTCTTAATATTCTTCTCCTACAACTATTCCTTCTCCTTCTATTTCTCCCATTATTGCTGCTTCTTTTCCTCAACAGTAGACTATTGTTCAGCCCAATTATGTTCCTTCTTCTTTCTCTATTCTTATTAACTCTATCTCAGTCCACTTACCGTTACTCCCACCTGCAACTACAAATATTCACCCCATGATCACTAGGTCTAAACTCTCTTCTCAATGTTTACTTCACACCAAGTCTTCTCCTGTTTTGTACTCAGATTCTGAACCTCCATCTTATAAGGAAGCTCTTCTTTCTCCTATTTGGCATAAGGCTATGCAAGAAGAATTTGATGCTTTGCAAAAGCAACAAACTTGGTCTTTAGTTTGTCCTCCCCCAGGAAAAAATGCTATAGGTTGTAAGTGGGTTTTCAAGGTTAAACGGAATTCTGATGGCACCATAGCTAGACACAAAGCTCGGCTAGTGGCCAAAGAGTATCTTCATCAAGAAGGTGTGGACTTTCAAGAGACTTTTAGTCTTGTAGCCAAGCTTCCAACAATTATAATTTTACTTTGCCTAGCTCTCCATCATCAGTGGCCCTTGAAGTAATTAGATATATCTAATGCCTTCTTTTATAGAGTTCTTGAAGAGGAAGTGTTTATGCTTCAACCACCAGGATTTGTTCATCCAGATCAACCTAATCATGTTTTTCATCTCAAGAAAGCCTTATATGGCTTGAAACACGCACCCAGGGTTTGGTATTCTACATTTTCAGCCTATCTTTTCTCTCAAGGTTTCCATAATAGCAAATGTGGCTCTTCTTTGTTCATCCAGAAATCCAGCACTACTTTCACTGCTCTTTTGGTCTATGTGGATGACATTTTAGTCATAGGGAATGATGTTTCTCACATTCAATCACTTATCTCTCATATGCACACTGGCTTTTCTATGAAAGAGCTTGGTGATTTGTCATATTTTTTTGGATATTTCCATCACACCCACTTCCACTGGCTATGTTTTGGCTCAATAGAAGTATGCTCAGGATATTCTTCACAAGGTAGGTTTAGCTGATTGTAAACCTCGTCCATCTCTTATATTAGTTAAACCTTCCATTGCCTCTAATTTATCAGCATTGTGTCATAATCCTGCTCTCTATCGAAGCCTGGTTGGTGCTCTTCAATAGCTCACCATAATATGCATTCTCCCACAGTTGGTCATTTTGTTAAAAGTTAAAGGATAGCTACGTTTTGTTAAGGGTACCATTGGGCATGGTTTGACCTATTCTTCAAGTTATTTTGATATTCATGCCTACTCAGATTCTAACTAGGCTGGAGATGTTTTAGACAGAAAATCTACCTCAGGTTATTGTATATTTTTGGGCTCTAACTTTGTGTCTTGGTCAGCCAAAAAGTAAGCCACAGTCTCTCGCTCTTCCACTGAAGTAGAGTACAGATCTTTTGCTCATACTGCTGTAGAATTAGCTTGGATTGACATGCTCCTTACTGACTTATCTACTTCCTCCTCCGTGACTCCTACTCTCTGGTGTGACAATGTCTCTGCTATTGTTTTGGCATCCAATCCAGTATTTCATTCCAGGTCTAAACACATTGAAGTGGACTGCCACTTTGTTCGAGATCAAGTTCTTGCTAAAAGGCTTGTTCTTAAGTATATTCCAACTATTGATCAGTTGGCTAACGTCTTTACTAAACCTCTCTCTGTCTCCAGATTTTTGTATCTCAAAGACAAGCTTATGGGGTTCACTCACCGTATTAGCTTGAAGGAGAATGTTGAGGATATTCCATCAAAGCCATCAAAGCCCAAGCATAGCTCACAGCTTAGCTCATGTTCTAGTTCAGTGATGAAGCCGAGATGCAGCTCAGTCTATGTGACTGCATCAGTTTAAACATATATCAGTTAGATAGTTTGAACAAATATCAGTTAGATAGTTTGTTAAAAAGTTACAAGTAATTAGCACATGTAGTTTAGATACATATCTGTTGTATAGGTATAGGTATAGCTATAGCTATATATATAAGGATAGCTCGTACATTCAGGTCATGTTTGATTCACAAGACTAATAGTGAAGTATTAATGATCCTATTAAATTAGTGTAGTATTCACTATCTAATTGGATTAATATCCATTGGATTAATAATCTCACCCTACCCCATTACTAATAATCCTACAAATTTGTTAGATTAATTATCCATTAGATTAATAATCCTAAACCAAAATATTAAAACAAATATAAGATAATTGGACCCACGGATTAATAATCTCAATCACATGCTCTAATCCATCCAATCAAGCATGCCCTCAATATCTGAAATAAGAGATTCATCTTTTCATCAAATTGACATGGATGCGAGGTGATGATGAGCAGTGGTAGTGCTTTGCGTTGAGAAGAAAAGAAGAGCAGGCTGGCATTTGAAGGACAAAATTGGCATTTACAAGTCTTGTTTTGGATGTTGTTAACAATTTCTATGTAATCAATTAACAGTTGATTAACAGTAGGATTAAGGTGTTATGTAAATTTCCAAAGTGAAGGTAGTCTCATTTCACAAAATAAGAGGGTGTCAGTGCTATTTCAAAGATATAGAAGGCTATAAGTGTAATATACCTTATATTTAAATATAAATCCTGACTAGGAAACATTTGGAGAGAATACTATAGATCTCAAATTTTTTAACAAATAAATGATTAAATATGTCATTTATTTTGTAGAAAATTTGGTATTCTTACCCCTACCTAACATTTTGAGTTCCTAACACGTGCCTTGTTTTTGTTGCCCATGTGGGTGAGACATTATTGGTCTTCACTGGTTTGTGTGTTTTTTTTTTTAACAGATCACTGGTTTGTTTGTGTTTCGCATTTTCTTCTATATAAGCTCTGCAAAGTAGCTCTTTTCAATGTGTTAAAAGATTAATCATGCCAACAAGAGACATGAGTTCTACTAAGGCACAGCAACAAACACACAACCCATGTCCTCCTTATGCGGTGTGCATACCATACCCAGCACAAGGCCACATCAACCCACTGCTGAAACTAGCAAAGCTCCTCCACCACAAGGGCTTCCACATCACCTTCATCAACACCGAAATCAACCACCGCCGCCTCCACAAATCCCAGGAACCCCACTCCCTCTCCGGCACCTCCTCCTTCCGCTTTGAAACCATTCCCGACGGCCTCCCTCCCCCAGAGGCCAACGCCACGCAGGACATCCCGGCACTCAGTCACTCCATTTTGCACAACTTTATAGATCCCTTCAGAATCTTACTCGCCAAGCTCAACCACGACGCTGCTGCTTCATCGGACGCACCTCCGGTGACATGCATAGTTTCAGATGGGGCAATGAGCTTTACTCAGAAAGTGGCTGAAGAAGTGGGCATACCTGCTGTTTTGTTCTTCCCCACCAGTGCTACTGCCTTAATGGGCCTTGTGGCTTATCCCCAACTCATAAAGAAGGGTCTTGCACCACTCAAAGGTGCGTACTGAAATTATCGATATAAATTATCGATACATTAATTATTTTATAAAATTTTAATATAGAATGGTGTGTCTTGATATTGACCTTTTATTTTAAAATTAAATGTCTATGAAAATAAGAGCAATACTGTAACACTATTCAAATTAAAAATTAAACTCACTTTTTAAATTGTGTAACGTTATAGTATATTAAAATATTTAAAGCAAAAAGTTCTCTTATATCATATTTAATAATTCATTAATTATTTTATTTATACATCATTTGATCTAGAAAATTGATCAACAAATTCGACTTATATATGTTTTTTATACTAAAAAATACAAAAAGTTTAACATGTTAAAATACAAGCTGGTTGGACTTAAAAAAATGAATCCAATTTTTGCGTTTCAGGCTTATCTCTTATTGGGTATTTTAATGTAATTTAATCAAATAGCTACCGATATCCGATTAATATGATTTTTTACAAGAATAAAGTACTAGACGAGTCCTACACATTAAACGAATCAGATCATTAATGTAGAGTTGGTGGTGAGCTCACAAAAGCCCAACAATACACTCCAGTCTGATTTAGACTGCAAAGAAGCCTTCCCCTATCTATTGATACATCTATTCCTAGATTTATTGTTAAAATAGTGTTTGTTTATAAAACTATCATTAACACATTTTTTGTGATATTTTTTTGTATAATGTTTGTGTACTAGTAGAGGATTTTTGGGGGGAAAATTACCACACAATGGTATTTCCAAAAAAATATATTACAATTTCATGGTAAAAATTATAATTTTAATAATTAATATTTATAAAATTTACCATTTATTTATAATTGTTTTTTTAATTTACACTGAATTGAAAGTTTGTCATTTTTTTTTTTGTAACTCCGTTTTTTAGAATAAATTATACCAACTCTCTTAAAATTTCAAAAATATATTAATTTTTAATATTGTAATTACATTAACTTTCCATATATTTTATGTTTCCTTATTCTTAACAGTTTCATTTTTTCTTTTCTTTTTTTGTTTTTGTTTTGATTTGGTTAATCAACAGCTAAGAATTTCAATGTAAAACTATAACATCATCAAATTTTATTTTAAAATGTCAATATCTATCTTTAATTGAACTAACTTCCTACCTCTCCCAGCCCACCTTAATCTCGAGGTACAACTACACCACCACCACCAGAAAATCAAAAATCAAAGTAAAAAATAAATAACCACCAGAAAATAAAAAATCAATGTAAAAAAAAAAAAAATTTATTAAAAATGTAATAACATTTTTTAAAAAAATTTGATTTAAATATGTGATTATCAAAATCCATTAAATCATATTTTTGTACATAACAATTATCAAAAAGACTAAAAATTAAACAATTTAAACTAATGAAATGGATTTGAGGTGGACCCATTATGGGACCCTCCAATCCAATTGGTGGGCTAGAGATTTTATTCATTATTTTATGTGGCATAATTACAGTGGTTAAATTTATTTTACACTTGTGGTTTGGAGGCTAAACCATTTTAGAAAGTTCTGATGTAATTTTGGATTAAAGTATTACTATTAATTTTTTCATCTAAACTAATGGAAGGTGCATCATACATACTAATTTTTAAAGTAGATTTGTTGTTCCAAAAAAAAAAAAAAAATGAAATTAATACAACAAAAATATGATTTCACCCACATTTTTTCCAAACTTAAAATTAGATTATTATGTTAATTAAAATAAAACAAAACAAAATATAATTAATGATTGATCTAAAATACAAAACATAATTAAGAATTGATTTAAAATATGATTAAATTAAATTTAAAAATAATTAAAAATTAAAAATTGATCTAAAATATCTTTAAATTAAAATTAGATTAACATGTTAGGAATTACAATAAATAACTAAAAATTTAGGATTAATTATGAAAATACAATTAAATTAAAATTAATTTTAAAATATAGGAATTAAAATAAATAATTAAGCATTTAAGATCAATTGTGACATAAAATTTAATTCAATTAAAGTTAGAATAAAAAGTTAAGAATTACAAGAAATAATTAAAATTTGTAATTAATTGTGATTTAATTGAATTAATATTGGATGTTGTAAATTATGTATTTGAAAGATGAGGGAGAAATAAAATAACAAATATATATGTAAGATTTGAGTTTATTACAATCATTTCATATCTATAGTTAATGGCTTTAACAGTTGCATTTTTGTTCAAGATCACATGGAGGTTTCGGACTATATTTAAACCAAATGGGGGTAAAGTGATTTGACTTCAAACCACAAAGAAGAAAAATGAATTTAATTCTAAATATTTTCATTCCTTTATTAAAAAAAAAAATGTAGGGTACAATTCATTTTACTTCTTTATAGTTTGAAGTAAAAGCATTTTACCCCTTACGATTTACTATAGTCGAAATTTTTTTATGTGGTTTTAAACCAAAGTGAAACTATTAACACTGTTAACTATAGATGCAAAATGACTATAATATCCTCAAATCATATTCTCTCTCTCTCTCTCTCTCTCTCTCTCATATACACATAATTTATAATATATATCTAACACTAATTCAATTAAATCACAATCATTGCAGTTTTTTATTTATTTGTTATAATTCTTAACTTTTTATTCTAATTTTAATTTAATTATATTTTAGATTACAATTAATTCTAAATATTTAATTATTTTATATTTTAGATCAATCCTTAATTATTTTTTAATTTAATTTATTTTAATTAACATATTAATCTAATTTTAGGTTTGAAGAAAATAAGGATAAAATTGTCTTTTTATTGTAATAATTTCACTTTATTTTTTCATAAAACTAATCCCACTTTCATAAATGATGTGTGTGATACATCTGCCATTAATTTGTATGGAAAATCTAATGCTGATACTTTAGCACAAAATCACATGTGAACTTTTTGGTTATATTTGAACCACATGGCCCTGTTTGTTTGGAGAGTTAGAGAGGGGATTGGGATTGGCATAGAGGGGAGATTGGGATTGACAGTGGGGTGGGACCCACTAACATTGTGTTTGTTTTGAGAGATGAGAAGGAGATTGATAATGAGTTCCGGATTATGAATCCCCTTAGGGAGGGGATTCGAATGGGTCTCCAAAACTTTGTATTAGAAAAATAGTACGTCGTATTAGAAATTTTTATTTTTTATTTTATTTTTACATGTTGGGCTTTTTTTTTGAACATTAATGTTTAATTTTTTGTATTTTTTTGTTAATTAAAAATCATTATTTTATTTGTTTTATTTTTTTCCTGAAATTTTTTATTTATTTTTATTTATTTTTAATTTTTTACATGTTGGGAATTTTTTTTAAAACATTAATGTTAATGTTTTTGTATTTTTTTTATTTGTTTTATTATTTTATATAAAAATAATTTAACAATCTCTACACTAACAACTATCATAAAAAAAATACAATTTTACTTAATCCCCTCACTATCAATCCCTTCACTAACAATCCTCTAATTATTAAACCCCTTATTATAAATTTCCTCTATTCTACCTCTGAAAACAAACGGGGCCTATGGGAATAAAGTTCTCTAGCTCCAAACTATGAGGAGGTAAAATAAATTTAATTGAAAGATTTATAATATGCCTTTTAAAAAAAGGAACATTTTATATGCATAAATCTAAAAAATAAACTTAACCAATGATCATACTCAAAATTAGGTTGTAACTAACATCAATTTGAAACATCACGACTACTTGTCATATCCGACACCATATTGGATATAACTTCTAATAGTTTTGGGGCCCCAACAGAAGAAAGCCTATAACAAAATACCACAATACTTCGTAATTAACATTATTTTAATTCGTACTTGTATATATAGTATACACCAAGTATATTGTAGCTTGATTATCAATTTATGTACTAATATTTTCCTAACTGTAATATTTTTCTTCACAAATGCAGATGCAAGTTATTTAACAAATGGTTACCTAGACACTGTGATAGATTGGATACCAGGCATGAATGGCATACGATTGAAGGATCTGCCAAGTTTCTTTCGAGCCACTGAACTGAATGTCATGATTCATTTAATTTTGGAAGCAATTGACAAAACACACGAAGGTTCGGCCATCATTTTAAATACCTTCGACGCTTTAGAACATGACGTTTTAGAAGCACTGTCAACAATGTACCCACCCATATACCTCATTGGCCCTTTTCAGTTTCGCCTCGACCAATTCCCACAAAATTGTTGTGAAGTAATCTTGTTTTCACCGGCCTAAGAGTCAAATGGAGGCTGCAAATCAAGACTTTCAAAAATAGTAGCTGCAAATCAACATTGTCAAAAATAGCAGCTGCAAATCAAGTTTGTCGTTTGAAATTTGTTGCCTCAGCTGTAGTTGAATTTAATGCGTTCACATTGTTAGTTTTATCTATATATAGCTATTGTATTATGCGAGTTCAAGTGTGGGAGAAAAGAAGAAGAAGAGTGCTCTCTGTTTAGTTTTTCAGAATTATATTTGAGTGAATTGAATTTCAGTTTGGTTCAGTTTTAAGCCTCTCATTATGAATCACCAACTGTGGTTTGCACCCCACTCCTACTAACAGTTGTATCAGAGCCGAAGGTAGTTTGAATTTGCAGAAATTCTGCAAAACTTTCAAGAACACAGTGTGTTTTCGAAAATTGCCCAGAAATCAAAGTGGTCGAAATCCATTTTTGATCACATTAGATTGAAGCTCTCGACGAGACGAGCACAACTGTGAAAACCGCGTCAAAAACAAAGATCGGACGGCCCCGCACGCGCCCTACGCGCTTCCTGACGCCGTTCTCACACGCACCACGCGCCCACGCCCACCACGTGCCCACGCGCTACCACGCGCTTCCAGAGGAAGAAGACGCGTCATTCAATGCGCCACACGCGCTACACGCACGCGTACCAAAGCAGGCGTCATCCACTGACGTCATCGAGCCGCTGATCGTCGTTGACTGGGCCGAGCCGCCATTGACCCTAGCCGCCAAGCCGAGCCTTCAAGCCGTTGACTGGAGCCGCTGACCTGGCCGCCGTTGACCTCAACCGTTGACCAAGCCAAGCCGCGTTGACTGAGCCGTTGACATCAGCACACGGAGGATTAATCCAGTGTGCCGCGGCTAAGGTGTAGATCTGAACCGTTCAACTTGTTTTGGCTTGATCTAAGCCATTCGGAGTCTGTTTCTGGTGATCCAATAGTGCTTTCGAACTAGCTGGAGTATTCCGGACACATCTGTGGGGTCAGAATTTGCAAATTCCATTCCAAAAATTTGCAGAGTTTTAAAGACAACCAATGGCCAACACAAACAACTTCTTTCAGCCCCAGTTTTCAAAACTCAGCAAGGAGAACTATGAAAATTGGAGTATTCAAATGCAAGTTCTACTAGCCTCAAAAGATTTGTGGGAGTTAGTGGATCGAGGATATGACGAGCCAGCTACTCTCGAAGATGAAGAAAATTTAAATGATACTCAAAAGACGTCGTTAAAAGATTCAAGGAGGAAAGATAAAAAGGCCATGTATCTTCTCTATCAAGGCATTGATGAGTCAAGTTTTGAGAAGATTTCAGCAGCAACAACCTCTAAAGAGGCATGGAGTATTCTTCGCATTTCACACCGTGGAATTGAGAAGACAATCAGAGTTCGACTCCAGGTGTTACGTGGCGAATTCGAGATGCTGCACATGAATGAGAATGAGTCAATTTCTAAGTACTTCAACAGAATATTGACCATTGTTAATCAGATGAGAAGATATGGAGAGAAGATGGAATCTCTTCAAGTGATAGAGAAGATTCTCCGATCACTTAGTCCCAAGTTCGAGCACGTGGTTGTAGCAATAGAAGAGTCCAAGGATCTCAGTGCCATGACCACCGATGAGTTGATGGGCACAATTGAGATTCATGAACAAAGGATCAACAAGAAGACTCCCTCAAGTTCTCTAGAGCAAGCTCTTCAATCAAAGCTGTCCTTCAGAGATGACAGAAACGAGCAAGGGGGGACATCACAAAGAAGCCGAGGAAGAGGCCGTGGTTACAATAATCAAAATTTTGTTTTTCGAGGAAGAGACGGAAGAGGTCCAGCCAGAGAAGGAAGAAATCAACCACACTTTGCTCCAAGAGGAAGAGCAAGAGGTAGAGGAGGTGGTTACAACAACCGACTAGGATTTGACAAAAGCAATGTTCAGTGCTACCAGTGCCACAAGTTCGGGCATTACAGCAATGAATGCCGAAGTAGAACAACAACGGAAACTAGAGAGCAAGCAAATTTTGCCAAGGAGGAAACAAACAAAGTTGGACCTACAGTCTTGTTTGTTCACCATGGAGACACTGAAAACCAAAACAATGTTTGGTATCTAGATTCGGGAGCCACTAATCTCATGTGTGGTAAAAGAGAGCTATTTGTTGAGCTTGACGAGACTGTACAAGCACAAGTCCCATTTGGTGATTCTTCAAAGACTCTAGTGAAAGGAAGAGGTAATATTCTGATCAAGCTCAAGAATGGAGATCATGATTACATCTCCAATGTTTATTATGTTCCTGCCATGAAGAACAACATTTTGAGTATGGGACAACTCCTAGAGAAAGGATACGACATCAGCATGAAAGATTGTCATCTTACCATCAAAGACAATCATGGTAATTTGATCGCTCAAGTGAGAATGTCCAAGAATCGGATGTTTGCATTGAACATCCAACATGATGTTGTGAGTGTTTAAGTGCCATCATCAAAGACAAAGACTGGCTATGGCATTTGAGTTTTGGACATCTCAACTTTGGAAGCTTGAAGCTGTTGTCAAGCAGAATATGGTGAAAGGGCTCTCTCATATTGCTCATACTAATGAAATCTGTGAAAGCTGCATTCTTGGCAAGCATCACAGAACTAGCTTTGCCAAAGAAATGAAGTGGAGAGCAACAAAGCCGCTGGAGCTAGTGCACACTGATGTGTGTGGTCCATTGAAGCCGATGTCAAATGGACAAAATAGCTATTTCTCACCTTCATTGATGATTATAGTCGGAAGACATGGGTGTATTTTCTTAAAAGAAAATCGAAGGTGTTCAGTATTTCAAAGAATTCAAAGCTTTTGTAGAGAAGCAAAGCGGCTACTACATCAAGACATTGCGATCAGATCAAGGTGAAGAATATACATCATATGCTTTTGAGAATTATTGCAAAGAGCATGGAATCAAGCATCAAACAACCCCATCCTATACGCCACAGCTGAATGGTGTTGCTGAAAGGAAGAATCGCACAATCTTAGATATGGCAATGAGCATGTTGAAAAGAAAAGGATTACCGAAGTAATTTTGGGCTGAAGCTATGTCATGTGCTATGTATACACTAAACAGATGCCCAACCACGAGCCTTCACTCTATGACTCCAGAAGAGGCTTGGAGTTCACATAAGCCAAGTGCCAACCATCTCAGAATATTTGGGTCTGTTACGTACACCAAGATTCCAGAATCAAGAAGAACCAAGCTTGATGATAAAGGAGAAAAATTTATCCTTGTCGGATATAGAGACAGAACAATGGGATACAAGTGTATAATCTCATTACCAAAAAGGTGATCATGAGTAGAGATGTGATATTTGAAGAAGAAGAAGCTTGGAACTTGGAATCAAGATGAAGTTGTTAAAGATGCAGAACTCATTCTTGAAGATGAAACATCAAAAGCTCCGGTTGAAATCACAAGAGAAGTTCAAGATGAGCCACAAACTCCTCCACATAGAATACCGGCACCTAGATTGCCAGTCTCTCACAGAAGTGCTGTATCATCATCATCATCATCATCATTATCATCAGCATCATCAGATGATAGCATTTTCAAACAACCAAGACTAATGAGAAATTTGCAGGAGATATATGAAGCTACAGAAGAAGCAGATCTGAATTTGTTCTGCCTATTCGCAGATAGTGATCCACTTACCTTCTCAGAAGCCATCCAAGAAGATAAATGGAAGAAAGCAATGGATGAAGAAATTCATGCCATTGAGAAAAATGACACATGAAAGCTTACCAGTCTACTAGAGTGGCACAAACCCATTGGAGTGAAATGGATATACAAGCCAAAGAGGAATGCACAAGGCGAAGTGCAACGCTACAAGGCAAGGTTAGTAGCAAAAGGTTACAAGCAGAGAGCTGGAATTGACTATGGAGAGGTGTTTGCTCCAGTTGCCCGATTGGAGACTATCAGGCTAATGATTTCTTTGGCTGCCCAACACAAGTGGCAGATTTATCAACTTGATGTGAAATATGCATTTCTTAATGGTTTCCTTGAAGAAGAAATCTATATTGAACAACCTTCAGGGTATGTTCAGAATGAGCATGAGGACAAAGTGTACAAAATGAAGAAAACACTTTATGGATTGAAGCAAGCTCCGCGTGCATGGAATACTAGAATTGATCAGTATTTTCATGACAATGGTTTTGAAAAATGTCCATATGAGCACGCACTATATTTGAAGAAGGAAGCTGATGGAAGCATGTTGCTTGCTTGTCTTTATGTTGATGATCTAATCTTCACCGGAAACAATCCAGCCATGTTCAAAAACTTTAAAAGAAGCATGGTCCAAGAATTTGAAATGACAGATATTGGATTGATGGCTCATTTTCTCGGCATTGAAGTGACACAAAAAAAAGATGGATTTTTTATTTCCTAAAGTGGCTATGCCAAGGAAATTCTCAAGAGATACGGGATGGAGAATTGTAATCCAGTGAACATTCTTGTAGACAGTGGAGTGGAGCTCATAAAAGGTACGAAGGCAGGTGATGTGGACCCAACTTATTTCAAGGGCCTAGTTGGAAGTCTTCGCTATCTTACTTGCACCAGGCCAGGCATACCCTATGGAGTAGGACTGTGATACCCCTGTTATGTATTATGCTAATTGGTCCTTAACACGAATGTGATTATGTGTTTTGATATGATTTTGTATGCCATTATGTGAAAATATGTGGTTTTGAATTTCTATCTGTTTGCCGTAGGAATATCTGTTTGATTATCTGCTTTGGAAATTAAATTTAGGGCCTTATCGGCCGCAGAACCCGAAATTGGTCACGCCATTGTGATTGGCATAATTTTTAGAGCCTACGGTGAAGTTTAATTGAAAAATTGATTCGGACCAGATTAAATTGATTAAACTGATGAATTAGTGCCCAATTATTTATTATTATTAAATAAATGTTAGTGGGGCTTGTTGTATGAAGGTACTACACTCTCCTTTAACTCTTTTGAGCTAAAAAATCTGAGTTATACAATTGTGAGAGAGAGAGAGGGCCAGCCATAGTGAGAGAAAGGGAGAGAAATTGTGCACTTTTGGCTCAAAGCTTGGAAACCTTGAAGATTTCCCAAGAATTTGTTATAGATTGTGAGAATCAAGGTTCCTAGGTGAGTATCTCATGGATTTTGTTTGGAATTTGTAAATTGAAGTTTGATTAATGGCCAATAACATGAATTAGTATGATTATAAGGAAATTGAGTTGATTTGGTTGAATTTGAAGTCATAGAACACATAAATTCAAGTTTGATTAATGGAGGAAATTGAGTTGATTTTATTGAATTTGAAGTCATAGAACACATGCATATAGAGAGTTGCTATGGATTTCCATGTTTGAGCTTAATTTGTGTAATCTATGTTGAAGTTTGATTGAAATCCATGTGTAGGACCATTTCTTCACCAAATAAGTTGTGAATAATGTGTCTTTCTTACATGCAAGAATAGATCATGAAAGGGTAAGCTTTGCATGTTTGAATTTGATGTGTTGGTGATGAATTTGGATTAATTTGAGAGATGCATGTAAGTAATACAAGAAATTGAGCTCCATGATGATGTGTTCTGGTGTTTATATCATGTTAGTACAAGTATATGTGAAATTGGAACCATAATATGCAAGAAATGTGGTTGAAATGTCGAATTTGAGCTCAAGAATACAATCTGGGAAAACCCAGAAATTTGATGTCCGCTCGAGCGGGGAAACCGCCGCTCGAGCGTGAATTTCGTGCTCCCAGTATTTTCTGCAGACCAAGATGTCCGCTCGAGCGGGGAGCTATGTTAGATGAACTTCTGCTCGAGCGTCCGAGTTCACGCTCAAGGGTAAAAATGATGCATCCAGTACTTTTGCAGGCCTCAAGGGTTCGCTCGAGCGGGGAAGTCCACGCTCGAGCGGGGACCCTGTTTTCTGAAATTTTGAAAATGCATTTTGTGTTCTGTTTTCCATTCCCTTTCACTTCTAAGCACTCTTAGGCATACATTGAGTATTGTAATTGAATTAAAGAGATAAGAATGAAGCCTAAAGAGGAATATGTGAATTAAAGAACAGATTGAATTATTTGTGACCCATACGTGTTATGTGATATGTAGGGTCAAGCTCCAGGGCAAATCCATAAGCCGATCACTGTGAGTAATATCTGAAATATGTTAATGTCCAATTGCTTACTTCTATGTAAGTTTTGTAAAGTTTGAGTTTGAATGGTGGACGAGGTTTGATATGAAAGTTTGAAAGGCCTCAAGTCCAGTTTGATATGAAAGTTTGAAAGGCCTAAAGGCCAGTTTGATATGGAAGTTTGAAAGGCCTAAAGGCCAATTTGATTGGAAAGTTTGAAAGGCTTAAGGGCCAGTTTGATATGGAAGTTTGAAAGGCCTAAAGGCCAGTTTGATATGGAAGTTTGAAAGGCCTAAAGGCCAATTTGATTGGAAAGTTTGAAAGGCCTAAGGACTAGTTTGAGTTTGAAAAGGCCAAAGGCCAGTTTGACATGAATGAATTGGGCCCAAGGCCGTCTGATGTATAATGTTCCAATGTATTTACTTTATTTGATGTTATTCACTGGGCTTTTGCTAACGCTCATTCATGTGTTTGTAGGTGAACCAAGAGAGGTCCAGACTCAGCCCCGGTGAAGTCTGTATGGAACAACCAGGTTTTTGGAGAGTCATCCCATGTGTCTCACGCATGAGACTTGCCTTCGCCTTTTGTCATTTTGTTTTACGCTGTTATATTGGCGAAGTCTTTGTATATGCCGTATATAGTTTTCACGGGTTGACTTACTTTTGGATGATCCTGTTTGTACAGAACTTATGCTACTGTATTTCTGTTATGAGTTATTAATGTATATATGTTTGGTTGTTTGGATGTGCCATGTAAGCACAGCTCTATGGACAAAATTTTGAACTGCTTCCGTTTGGCCCTCATTAACTCTGTTAAAATACATTTGTTTTGGTTTGAGGCCATAGGTAATCTCATGATTACTGGCCGGTTATGTCCTTAACCCACGGGGGCGGGTTCGGGTCATGACAGAGTGGTATCAGAGCACGAGTTAATAACTCACACACTTGTCCAAATGAGCAATAAGCGTCTAGAAAAGATCTAGGATGCATTCATGTGATAAGTCTGAATCTGAAAGGATCAAGTATATGCTTAAATGTTTTGATATGAACAACTATGTGTTATAAGGTATGATTTTCTTGTATTGCAATTTATTTGAATATGCATGCCCTTTAATATATGCATACTTGTAAATCTTTTGTATGAAGTATAATGTAAGTTTAATCAGATGGTGAGAACAAGAGGTGATGAGATAGAGGAATCCTCTACTGCCAGAATAGACAGAATGGAAAGACTGATATAGGAAATGGCAGAAGCTTTGAGACAACAACATGAGTGGTAACAACAGTGGCAGCAACCACACCCGCCACCTCCACCTCCGGCACCACCCGTGCCAGATA